GGGCTACCAAAGCAGGAGAGCCATTCCCTCTGCAGAGGAAATAAATTGAGAGGGCGTGTCTTCGGATCATCCTGAGGGATGTTTCCCAGACCGTCGCCAATTGCCCATTGTGGAGCTCTAGTGCGACGTAAATGAACTACAACATTGATAATTTAAGTTTAAGAATTTGATAATAATTTACCACATTTTACAATTAAACAATTTTTTTTATGAAATAATAGTTTTTGTATTATTATTATTTATTTTAAATAATATTTGAATTATATTTATAAATTTAACTGATGGTTTAAAGTTTCTCTTTAAAAACTCTGATTTAAATTAAATAAATTGGATTTTTTATTATATTTGGAAAAAAATCTGGAGTCTTTTTATTAGTCATACATACAGCTAAAATGATTTGAATAAAAATATAGCTTCACTGTTTCCATAATAAATTAAAATACTTTCTGTAAAATTTTAATGCTTCTTAAGCTGTTAGACACCCAATTATTTTTATTACGACTTAGATAAATACATTGAAACAAATCCATCACACATTAGACCAGATTTAAAACGCTTTACAACTTTTAACAAAATATACATAAGCTAAATAGTCTTCATTTTTACATTTTAAATACATAATCTCATCAGACTTACATCAAAAAGAAGGAAAAGTATAAAGTTTTTGTTGACTGAGTACTTCATTTAATCCTTATTAGTGGCATGTTATTATTATATTCATTTAATCAGTATTAAAAAAGTCCGTATTCTTTTGAACATCTAATATGTTCAAAACACTAATGCTTGAATTGATTACAGTATTTCAACTACAGTGTCTTCAGCAAATAAAATTAACCAGTCCAATCACACAAACGCTCTAAGCTAAGCAGGCAGTGATTAACCAGCTTTAGTCAATTTTTTTTTTAATTTATACTTTTTTTGACATCTTCTAGTATTTGCGAACCGTCTTCTGGCAATACTTTCGAAAAAATTGTTTTGGAACTTTCTGAAGCTAAATCATCTTTACTCCTTGTCTCACGAGCTAATTCTTCTTCACTAGAACCCCTTATTAGGTCGGACGTGGCCCTGATTCGTGATCCTGGAATTCTCCTGTCATACTGCTGTCTATCTTCATCATCAAAATGATCATTTCCTGGAAAGTTGGAATCGTGATCAGAAAATCTTTGTGACAATAGTTTATTGAAAAACTGATCACCGTTAAATCCTTCGACCAAAGCTAATTGCTTTTTAACCCAATCGACATCAGCAGCTGATGGCTCGCTAAGACTGTGCTCATCAATATTATAACTTCTATTGTACTGTCTATTCCCATATCGATTCCCATCTTCGTTATCTGTCGGCTGATTTCGTGCACCTCTATACGGTGGTCTGCGATAAGGCATGTCCAAATATCCAGGATCACCGTATCTAATTGACCCCTCATCGCTAACATCATCATTGTGAAGAAGAATATTTCTGTCATAATCGGGTTGACCATCGTGCCTTATGAACAGGGGGTATACCAGCCTCTCGTAGACTCTGCCAGTGCTTGGATCAACTTTAACTGCTTGAATACCATTTGGAATAGGAACAGCTCGCAAGACAAAGTTTGGAGTTCCAATCCTTCCATCATAAGATGGCGGATTGTACAGAGTTTCAGGAGGAATATTGCGATGATCAGTTGGAAAGTTTGGCAAAGCACTATTCGGAGGGCTAGGGTAATTAGAACTAGGAGGGAAACGAGGCAAATCAAAATTTCTATTTTCTGGATGTAGAGAAGGAGGAAATCTTCTGGCACCCTGAGAAGATATGGGAGAAGGTGTTGATATGGGAAGAATTGGGCCTAAATCTCTATGTATTGGCACTCCCGGCCGTCTGTCTGTTGGTGGAGGTGGAAGATCATCATCATCGAATCCACCGTAGGGTGGTATATATGGTTTGCGAGATGTTGAAGTGGGATAGAAGTTGCCTTCTGTTGATCTGTCTCTTGGTAAATAATATGGAGGTCTTCGAATGGCCGTGTGTGGATCTATTGGAGGAAAGTATACATCCACAGGCTTGGAATCGGCTTCAGAGTTTTGTGTCAAAACTCTAGGAGACCTTACAGGATCAACTGGCTTATTATCAGAGGGACTTACAGGACTTCTTATTATATCGGTTGGGTAATAGGCAACAGGACTAAGAGGTCTATAGTCATCAAAATTCCTTTGCCTAGACTCTCTTACAGATTCGTCATTCTCACGTTTCGCTTCATTATCTTCATCTACATATGACACTTTTGAAACTCCGGCATCTATCCTCCTGCCAAATACTTGCCTAGACTGATCGTCAGAAGTGGCAGCAACGGTTAAAGGAGCGTTGGGATCCGCTTTTAAAATGGTAGCATCTGCTGCTTCAGAGCTAATAACGCCTGGCTCGTTGGTTCGAATGGCTGCTCTGAAACCTCCTTTATCTGCGATGTAGTCAACTACTCGATGAGTTCCGTCTACATGCTTTAGCCCGTACGAGCCGACGACTCTGCCCAGGGCATCTGTACCTTCCTCGCGGAAGTGCTCTCCTTCATTATTGGCTACGCTGTAACTGAAACGATAGTTGCCAAGAGCCTACGAAAGATAAAGAGAAAAATTAGAATTGAGAAAAAGAATTGCTTTTTAGACAGAAATAGGACGCCTTTACTTGAGAAACCGACAGGAAAAAATAGACTATGTCTTAAAATAAAACATTTGTCAGACAAACAGCAATCTTTCTGTTCATGACGACTATGGAAATGTATTTGAGAGTCTCAAAGAGCAACCAATAATAAATTTATTGTTAAAAAAATTTTTGTTTTTTATATTAAAGCAAAAAAAATTCTATAAATTTAACTATAAAATTCTTTTTTTATTTTTTATTTTAAACTAAACGATTATTCTTAATCTCCAAAATAGTTCATGCCCGTTACAGGCAAATTTTTGTGAACAAAAATGATATATTTGTTAACCGACAATGCCGGTCATAAAAATGTATGCGCAGGTAGGAGAGATAAAAATGCTTTGCACCCAAATAGAAATAGCGAGGCAATGTTTGCACCGAATCATCATGGTTGGAACTATAGCCACTTTACCTGCTGTGTATACTACTTTACATTAAAAAAAAAATTTAAATTGTTGAAACCTGCGGTCTAAAAACTTTGGCAATGATTATTAATTTTCAGTTTTCAAAAGACACATCTAAACTCTGACAACAATTAAGTGTAAATTCGATTCCTATTTAAAGCGAATTTATAATTCTATCTAATAACAGGAATTAACACAAATTATTGCTCTATTAAATATAAATTACGTTAAATATTTTTTTCAAAATCATGAGGGCCAATTTTGGACATCCATGATGCTAACAACAAAAATAATTTATTAAAAAATACTTTCTAGAGGTTTACAAGCAAAAATAAGAGTATAAATTTAAATAAGATGTTTACTTGATAATATCCTTAACCTTAACAATAGATAAATTGTATTACTGTGTGAAAGTTTTAAGAAAAAGCAACATTGTGTTTTGTTGCATATCCAAAATATTTTTTATTTATTTATTTATTTATTTATTTATTGCGTTTTTATGAAATATTTCTGTAGCAAATCTAAACCAAGACCCGTTTTGCCAATTGGTAATAAGCCTAAGTTGTTCGAGTAATTTTTTCATTCAATTGCGTGCAGGTGGTAGTTATACACTAAAACTAAACTAAATCTATTGCTGTTATTTTTTCATCTGAAATTAAATTTTACAGGTAAATATATTTGGTTTAAAGAAAATGTATTACGATACATTCAAATAAATTAAATTTTATGTTTTACGGCATTCAAATACTGAAGAGAAAAGTCAAGAATCTCTGCTTGCATTTATATAAAATAATAAAATTAAAATGTGGATTGTTCTTCACACATCTCTGCACGCCACTGTGTTCATTCAATAATAAAATAATTTCAATAAGACTTCTTACATCTTGAGAACGATGCACTTCACTTTCACCATCCGGATGATCACCGCATAAACAGGGAAGAATACAACACATCACCCATAGACAGCTGCATAAAACCTATAGGAAACAAACAGATTGATCGATGTCAGAGTTAGACAAAATGTAATTGAATTACAAGTATTGAAGGTGTGGCGTAACTACCACTACAAATATCAAATACCAATTCACTAGTATATAAGACATGTTCTATCTGGAGATACCTTTTGATTGATGAAGATTGACATAGTCTATAAATAAATCCCTTCAAAGGATACGCGTAATCGTAGATAATGATTAGTTGATTATATTTCTTTGAAGCAGAATTTTTATCAAACATCTTGTTCAAATTTTTTTCATTATTTTGTATTAATTTACGTAAATATGAGAAAAATTTTATATTTAACATTTTAATAATTTATGGTTATGAAATACAACATGAAACATCGCTGTCTTTTTCTCTGTTAAGGGTAAAATGTTCCAAACACGGCTCACTTCCAAACAATTATTCTTCGAAGTTGCAGTTATTTAAATCTAAGAGGAACAGTTTTTCATTTTTGAATAAGAATGAAAAAAATGTGGATTATGTCTTTTTTGGATTTTATGTTTCATTACATACATAATTCCGATAATGTAACAGATTTTTTTAGTAATTATTTAATTGTTTTTTGTAATTAAAAAAGAACAAGATATATTTTTGATTGTAATAGAGCATCAGAAAACAAAATATATAAAATGGACAACGGTGTCCTATCTGCGTCATAGAGTTACAAAATGTAATCATGAATTACTGTTCTATTTTGTCTTAGAAACACTCGGAAATGTTTGGTAAATACAGTATAAATGCAGGTACTTTTGTTCAAGATACTTTGCTCCCGTATCTCACTTTAACCCCTTCTTTCTCGCTCCCGTGAAAATGACGGAGTAAGGTTTCGCCCTCTATTTCTCGCTCCCGTGAAATTTCCGGGCTGGAGGGTTGAATAGTAATGCGCCAATAAGAATAAAACTAGTTTATTTCTTTTGCCCGGAAAACATTTTATTTACCATTTTACACACCAGATGGCAGTTATTTTTAAGGTTATTGTAGATAGTTAGTTTATTTAAAACTAGATGTCAGCACTAATCAAATACGTGTATTTGGCAAAATAGGCACTTTTATGACCGCTTTCTTGAAAATTAACAGATCGTTAAAGGGTTAAAGTTCCCGTTTTCATGGCTCTCCGGGTTAAAATTAAAATTTTGTTAAAAAGGAAAAGAATGTTCCATGTTTTATATTCGCTATGTGGAAAAATAGTAAATCTTTGAAGCTTGGAAGAGAAGCGCGAAAGAAAATGTTTCTCGTCTTATATCGGCTATACAGAATATAGGCTATATAGAAACTCAAAATCCAAGATGAAAAATAGGGCTATTTAAGCTATTGAGTTTATACTGATATTTTAAATGAAATTATTAAATATTGAAGTTAGTTAGTTCATAATTGAAGTTTGCAAAGCTATGATCTAAATCCATAGATGCACTGTTTACAGTCCCTCGCATAAATACAACCAAATCCTTTTAGAAAAAATTCTCCAGAATATTACACAATTTACTGTCGAATTATCTTTTTTCTTCAAAAAAAAATCAACCTTATGAACTTGTCACAGTGTTTTTCTCCATTAAGGCCTATTTAAGCCTTATGTTTACTCAAATTTGCAGTTTATTTTGGGTATTCTTTGCACGCATCTGTCACTTTTCCTTTTTAAAATCTGAAAGCTTACCTACTTAATCTCAAGGACATTTCTTAAAAGTAAATAATGAGTGGCACATTTAAAAATTTTTATTGTTTTTGTTCTAACTTTGTGACAAAACGAAATGCATGCACAGAAATTTTTTTTTCACCACATCTCGTTATATATCAGCTCCCCAAATTAAAGTATTATTCTTTTTATAGAATTTATATTTTATAACTTTCATGCAAACAATTTCTGCAAAAAACTTCTTTTCTCGAAACTGAAAACTCTTATTTCGAAAGATTTTTGACAGATTTGTGAAATAAATTGTTAATAAATATAATACTTATACTTGTCATAAAAAGTAGTTGTCAATACCTTGTCTTGTAATTTTTGGTTGTTGTTGATACATAATCAATGAACAAGGGGGAAAAAATGACATTATTGTTAATAAACGAAAAAGAACTTAACCTGGTGTCTTAAGCTTTTATCAGCAAAAAAAGATAGTATATATATACGAGTTTTGCCTAGTGATTATTATTTATCTCTTATATATGGAATGTTCTAGTGATACTTATTTATCATCCCTTCTTAATATTATTCTCGGCTATTATTACGTTTTTCATTTCTTATGATTGTTCACAATTGGTGACTTAAAACTAAAAGTTGCACTTTTTGGCGTTAAAACGAAATGGTATAATTCTAGTTTATTAGGCAAAATGTAATAAATTTTACGTAATTATTAAATAATAAATTATTAATCTTTACTTTTTAATAAATTGTACTTAATTGTTATAAATTTCCCTCAAAACTTTGCCCCTTAACTATGAAAATGAATCATCATTACAAAATAAATATGTTTATTATTAATCATTATAAAATAAAATTGTAAATAAATGCAACAGATTTACTTTTCATATTATTGCTAAATGATCGTTGTTAGCAAAGATAAATTAGCAAGTTTTTACAATAACTAAAAGATTAAATGAGAATTTAAACAAATATTAAGAGAAATTGGGTGAAGCTGCCATTTTAACTTTAAAAAGCAACCAGATTTAAATTTTGACTCAATAGAATTGGTAACTATATATCTGTGTATTGTTGACATAATAAAACATTTGGGATCTTTCAATTGAACGAATTTTCATTTAGATCTGTCTATCGTGAGAAAACAGAAAATGATTGCAAAACAATTGTGAGAAGTCGTAGACTAATTTTAACTATACAATGCGTTATGAAGGGAGGGTTACTCAACTCTATACCTATAATAAGCCCAATCATATCCATGGAATAACTGAATGGTAAAATCATACTCAACCAGTAGCTTAGCTTGTGGGTGGCAAAAGGGGATAACGGGCCCCGGACGCATTGTTAGTGGGACACCCAAATTTATGAACTCCCCCTCTTCCAATGAGAGAAGAAGTTGAGGAATAACTTACATTTCGAATAACATTCCGCAAAAATCTGAAATTTATTATTAATGTTTAATTATATAAAGCTGAGGCCTAAAATTGTTATTAAAAATATTTTTTTAAAACTATTGTTTTAGCCTTGATAAAAATTAGTACTTTTTTTTTTTTCATCATGCAGTATTGATTTTAAACTGAAATGTGTTTGAGTAGCACTTCAGTGCAAACATAGCACAAATCTTTTATTTTTTGCAAAACGGGTCCACGGAAAAAATTTGTTACGGGCTCCTTCCACAAAACACAAAAATTCAAGTTTTCATATTTTATAAGACTTTTAAAAATCTTTTATACAAAATTTTAGTTTTTTCTCTGCAATAATAAAGTAACTAATTAATAAACACTATTTATTGTAAGACATTTTGCGCCCCGAGACAATTGCCCCTCTCCTCCCATTTTGAGTAGGGGAGAGTGGGGTCAATTGTAACAGGGTACGATTGTAACAGAGCAAAAATTTCGAGTGTCGGGTTCTAGATTTGGTTCCTAGGTGGCGCACAAGGTGTATTTAATAAATCTACATGTACACCCCTGATGGCAACCATTTTTATGTACTTTTGAAAGAGTTACATCACAAAAGATATTTTCACGCCACGCAAGTACTTTTTTTGGTATTAGAATATTATATTGTAACAAAGTAATTTTGTTTAAACAAATAAAAATTATTAACCGAATATGTAAGTGGACACCTTAATTAACATTTCAAAAAAAAAAAAAGATTAGTTTTGCTAATTAACTAGCATTGTTTTTAACAAATGAAGCTGAAATGGCGTCTTGGGGACAATTGTAACAATAAGTAAAGGGACGATTGTAACAGCTGAAAATAAATAATCTTATGTTTACAAACCATTACTTAACTCTTTAAGAACCACCAATAGTTTCCTATATCATTTATATTATGTTGCATGTGCATTATTTTATTTGTCACCTTTCACAGCATAAATTAAAATTTTTAACCCCTTAAAGTTAAAAGTTTAACCCTTTAGGTCTCTGCTCATTATTATTTTTACTCCTAAAATATCACTACTATTTTGATCAATAAAAAAATATATCACAACTATGATAATATGTATAATTAACTATGTTTTAGTTGAATTTATGAACTGTTACAATTGACCCCGTAAGTGGGGACAATTGTAACAACTGCACGACTGTCAAAAATTGTTAATAACTAATATAATAATATTTAAAATCAGGTATTTATTTTTTTTCTAGTAGAGGATAGTCTACTTTACTCGTCTGTCAATTAATATTAATAATATATTGGATTTTTTGTTAGTTAAAAATAGTTAAGTAAAAAATGTTACAATTGACCCCACTCTCCCCTACTACTTTGCAAAGAAAAGGAGACAGTTCTTTAATTTGATACAGTGGAACCAGAATTATAACAGAAGATTTTTTTTTCTCTTCACATAGTGCGGAAATTTTCTATTTTCATTAAATCAGAGAAAAGTTGTTTAAAATGTTATAATTTTCAAAATTCAATTAAACTATAAAGATTTTTTAAAAAAAAAACCCAAATGAAATGATTTATGAATACCATTCACAGTGTTAAATTTCATACATAGTACGGAAATTTTCTATTTTCATTAAATCAAAGGAAAGTTGTTTAAAATGTTATAATTTTCAAACTTCAATTAAACTATAAAGATTTTTTTAAAAAACCCAAATGAAATGATTTATGAATACCATTCACAGTGTTAAATTTCATACATAGTACGGAAATTTTCTATTTTCATTAAATCAAAGGAAAGTTGTTTAAAATGTTATAATTTTCAAACTTCAATTAAACTATAAAGATTTTTTTAAAAAACCCAAATGAATTGATTTATGAATACCATTCACAGTGTTAAATTTCATACATAGTGCGAAAATTTTTTATTTTCATTAAATAAGAAAAAAGTTGTTT